CGGGGCGGGAGGCGCGCACTCGCAATGCCCAGGCCGGCCAGACGCCACCGCCGCCTCCCTCTGCCTGCCTGCCTGGGTCGCCGGGTCCCGCGCCTCTAGCCCCCATCGCCCTGGAACTCTGCGTTCTGCCGAGCCACCTGTTTGAAGTCGACCCCCGCCCTTCCAGCCCTTCCCCCATCCCCCATCCCCCGGGCCGCTGGAGACCTGGCACATATTTCTCAGACACTTCATTCCTTCCTTCCTCCGAGCTCCCCACTGAGAAAATGCTGTAAATGATTTCACCAGATCTCCCGGATGAGATTCAGCGGTTCTTAATTCTGGTGACCTTGGGCAAGCTCTTCTTTTGCTTTCGCTGTGGAGCTCACACTTAGTGCCAGACACTGTGTTAAACCCTGGGATTACCACGATAAAGGGATACAGTGACAGCCTGCAATGAGTTTACAGTCAACTGTGGAGGCAGACAGACAGACTTTGGTTTTCTCAATGGTGACTCCAGCATTTGTCTATTACTCCTTTCTCTTAAGGGTGTAGAGGATGACACCCATGTTGCCCTTAGAGTCAGCTTCTACTCGGGTTACAGTACTGAGCTCCTTTGGGTTTTCTTGACTATAATCTTTATGAAAGTGAATTGCCAAGCCTTTCTTCCATGGCTCTGCTGGGTGGGTTCAAACCCTCAATTTTTAGGTTGTTGTTGTAGTTGTTAAGTGCTGTGGAGTCGGTTCCAACTCAGCGACCCTATATAGGGTTGCTGAGGCGCAGCTGGTGGATTTGAATCTCCACCCTTGCTGTTAGCAGTCCCCGGTACACTTCCTACAGCGGAGCATAAACTATTTGTACCAGCCAGGGACCTGAGAGATCAAACTCACTGTCATCCAGTTGATTCCGATTCATAAGGATACTATAAGGGGAGAGTAGAACTGCTTCTTAGAATTTCTGAGACTAAATCATTAAGGGAGCTGGAGGAAGACAGCCTCATCTTTCTCTTCTCCAGCACCTGGTGTGTTTGAACTGCCAACCTTGTGGTTACCAACACAAGTACCAACAGTGGTTTCTGAGAGACTGTTGTTGTTAAGTGCCTTACATTGTTGTTAATTACCTTGGAGTCGCTTCGGACTCATAGTGACCCTGTACAGGTTTTCCGAGGCTGTAAATCTTTACGGGAGCAGAACGCCTCATCTTTCTCCTGTGGAACCGCTGGTAGTTTCGAGATGCCGACCTTGAGGTTAGCAGCCCAATTCATAACCACTACGCTACTGCCTTATAGCAACCCTATATAGGGGTTCCTGAGGAGAAGCTGGTGAGTTTGAACTGCCAACCTTGCAGTTCAAACGGCTTTGCAGTCTGGCGCATTAACCCACAGCGTCACACCAGGACTCCATTCCTGAGAGACTAGGAAGACAAAAGCTCTAAATCAAGCCTTACATGGATAATAGTATTTTTACTCTACTCTGAGAGATACAGTAATATGATAGTTATTGCCCTTAGGAAGGAAGCCCACAATACACATACACACACACACATATATGGAACCCTGGTAACAGTGGATTATGAGTTAGGCTGCTAAACACAAGGCCAGCAGTTCCAATCTACCAGTTGCTCTGAGAGAGAGATGAGATTTACAGCCTCAGCAAACCTATACAGGATCGCTATGAGCTAGAACTGACTCCATGGCACACAAACACCGCCATCAACATTTGTTGTTGTTAAATGCCATTGAGTCGGTTCCGACCCATAGCAACCCTGTATAGGGTTTCCGAGGGTGTAAATCTTTATGGGAGTAGAAAGCCTCATCGTTCTCCCGCGGAGCGACCATCACCATATGTACCCATATATGCGGGTGCATATAAAATTATCCACACTGAATTTTATTAAAACGCCTGTCTAGGGCCGATGACACCATTAAGTGTGCACATGAAATGATTCTGTTGAGTAGATGAGTGACAGTAAATTATGTGGCAAATCATTTGCAAATCAGCCATGGCTCTGCCTATGAAATAATCCAGGACAGATTTGTATTTTGAGAAGTTTGTGCAAGATGGATACTGAAACAACTCATTGAAGAGCACAAATACTTCTATTTATGCTGGGCATCTGCAAACAAAATTTGGACTGATACTCGAAGGAAAGTAAAAGTTTCTTTAAAAAAAAAAGTCATTGTAGGTGATGAGAAATGATTTATCACTATGAGACTAAGATAAACAGAGTATGAAATGGAAACATCCTCATTGTTGATCAAGAAAAAGTTCCAAAGTCAACCATCATCTGGAAAAGTGATGCTTACAGGTTTCTGGAATTCTCAAGGGTCAGTATTGGGACATTATCAGGAAAAAGGTTCAACAATCAACAATGCTCATTACAGTGAGATACTCAAAGCCTAAACTTTGGATTAAAAACAGTACTGCTATCCTGATCTTGGATGACAATGCACATCCACACACCTCTGCTCACACTGTTAGCACTCTGCAAAAACTTTGTTCTGAGGTATTAAAGTATCTTCCCTATGGTCCTGATCTTGCTCCATCGGACTTTATCTTTTTGGTCCTCTGAAAGCAGCTCTTCTAGGACAAGGATTCACTTCTGATGAAGTGAAGACAGCGATGCAACTCAGCCTAAAACATTTTTTTATAAGGAAATATGAAAGCTTGTTGACACAAGGATAAAGTGTATTGAAATGCAAGGAGATTATGAGATTTGAAAAGTGATATATTTTCTAAAAGTTGATTAAAATACATTTTACAGCCAAAATGACTTCCAAAAATTATTTGTTAAATGCCCTTTCTAACTCAGTGACCCT